GTCTGGCTGGCCACACTGTCAGCTTCAGACATCTGTATCATTGCTTCGCTCTGAAACCTTGTCCCTAATACCTGTCCTGCATGAGACCAACCCAGCCTTCCTCTTCCACCCATTTGTCGAAGAGCCACCTCCACACAGTCACTAAGGAGCTCCTTATGGCCAAACTAAGGTCACTCTAGATAACAGCTTTTTAAAATTAGTGTATTTTGTGTGCACGATGTGGGCGTACATACTATAGCGTGTGCATTCAGACGATTTTCAGGAACTGTTTTTTTTTTTCACCTTTACAGGAATTCAAGGAATTAATCTCAGGTTGTCAGGCTGCATACCAAACACTTTATCCTTGGAACTATCTCACCAGCCCGGGCACTAGCTTTTGCTAGGGATAGTACTCTCTTCCCTGGCATCTTGCTCCAGCTCCCAAACTGTCATTTCAGTGCCCCTGATCCCATTTTTGTCATGGGGCAAAGAACACACATAGTTGGCTAAGATGACAGCTTTATTGAGAGTTACAGGACACCCCGGGAAAGGGTGAAGAGAAGTGTATGGTGGTCAGTTGAGGTGGGGGGATCCAAATGCAAGCCCAGGTTCAGGAGAGCATATCCATGAAACAGATGATGCTGTTGTGGTACCCACAGCAGACAACAAGGCACACAATTGGGCTAGTGAAACCAGCCCTGTCTGTCTGTCCAGGAATTCTGCCTTTGTGCAGAGTTCCTTATCTCCATTCATGACAACTGTATTTCCCTTTCTGAGGCTGCTGGTGTGTGCAACATCTGAAGACTTAGCCTGTGGCTGGAAACCATGTCAGGGACTTCCACAATCATCGTCATGGCCACCCAGTACCAGCTGTGTTGGACTGAAGCTCCAAGCAAAGTCAGCACATCTGGTCTTCTGTATCCCTCACCTCGCAGGGGTGGGCACCTGGCCCAATAGCTCCAGGGGTACCAGGAATGGGTTCAATGGGCAGATCCCAACTGCTTGCCAGGCCGGCCTCTGTTCTATGGGCTCAGAGGCCTGAGGACTGGCTCGGTCAGGCTCCTCGGGCTCCTTGGAGCCAGTCTCTCTTTCTTCATTCCCCAGCCTGGGGCTCTTCCCGCTAGGGAGAGAGGTCTGGGGGGCCATCAGTCGAGCATATGTTTTGGTCATATGTTCCACCAGGGCTGTGCAAGGCAGATGGGACAACTCCTCTGGAAGTGACGTGATCAGGTCAAGGACCACAGCTGACTCTGATAGAAGGAAAGGGGAAGAATGAGAGGACAAGGTTTGACCCTGCACCCCAAGCCCCCGCCCCATTATAGCCCCTCTCCTCCCCAGTTCCTCTTACCAGCTGCTGAGAGCTCAGGGCCATGGCCATTTCTGGAGGAGAAGGACAGATATTTGTAGATCTTCTCAAAGTCCACAGTGTAGTCTTTCTCTGTGGAGGGGCCAGCCAGGGATTTGGTTGGGGTATCAGTGACAGTGACCTCAGAGGCAAGGCCAAGGGTCTCAGGGTTGGGATCAGAGGCCTTAGGGACAGGAACAGAGGTCTCAGGAGTGGAGTCAGCAGTTACAGGGGCAGACCCAGAGGCTTCAAGGCCAGGATTCTTCTGCCCTCCTTGGGCACTCAAGAACAGCAGTGGCTTTCCACAGGCCTTCGTGGGCTTGCTTGGCTTGGAGTGCAGGAGGCTGATCGGTTCTGCAGCAGCAATGGTGAGCACCTACGCAGCAAGGGAAGTGGGAAGGCCTACATCTTCCATTGCCCTGCTAGGCTAGAATAAATCCTCCACCTCTACCCATTCCCCAAATCCTCCTCGCCATTCGGAGGGTGACCCACCCAAGAGATGGCCTTGGACAAGAGTTACTGGGTGTGGCAATAGAAAAGGCCCAGGATCCAGATCTACATTTTTCTTTATTTCCCTTTTTGGGTAGGGGCAGGAGAAGCCTGGAACTCACTGGCAATTCTCTACTCCTTCAAGTTTGGAGATTATTTACAACACCATTGCTTGACTAAACCCAGTAGCTTTCTAGCACTGGGCCATACCCACTCCTGTGTCCTGTAATAAATGCCTTTGACCTGCCAAGGATCAGTGGGTGTACCTGGGAGAAAGCTGCAGTCAGGGCTTCCTCCAGCGGGCCTGTTAGTTTTTCAGCAAGATCCATCCATACCTGGGTGAAGCCAGCAGATACATGGTCAGTCTAGGGACCAGCCCCCAGGAGTCTTTCAAGCTTTGCCCTTCCTTGAATTCCTCCTTCAGGGGCCAGCCTTGGGCAGCCCTCGCCTTACCCTCCTGCCTTACCTCTATGGGGGCTGGAAGCTGAGCTTCTTGTCGCCTTAGTCCCTCTGGGCCACCTGGGTGCGCCTTTCGAATGGCTTCACGAACCACACGGCCTTTGAGCTGCTGGATAAATCGGCAAATCTGGGGAGGAGGACAAGCTTTCTGTGAGTTCAGAAACAGAGGCAAGACCAGTCTATTGCCTTGCTTATTTCAGGAACTGCTACAGTTCCCAATCCCGGACCAGCCCAATGCTGCACATTCCCGAAACTACTGGGACTCAAGCCAAGGCCCCAGAGTGTGAACAGCTATCCTAATGAAAATGTAAAAGCCAGGTCTATTCTTGAGAACTCCTTCCTGGGGCTACAGCTTGCTCTGATAATGAGAGCTAACCTATTCACTTCCACTCCACCCCACTTCCTGAACTCTCATGTCATATGTCATACTAACTTTGGTCTGTCCAGCTTCACCTTTTTTGTTTGGTTGAGATTTATACAGCATTATCTGTCCTGGAATTATGTAGACCGGGCTAGCCTTGAACTCAGAGGTCTACCAGTGCTGGGAATAGAGGCATACGTCAACACACCTGGCTACCAACTCCACCTTAACCCAGTCTCCAGCCTCACTTCCACTACCTCCACCCCGCTCTGCTTAGCCCTTTGATTCTCCCGCCCACACACGTCTCCCTCCCTCCCTCTCTCTCTCTCCCACTCTCTCTCTCTCCATTCGTCCCTCCCCCTCTCTCCTTTTTCGAGACACGGTTTCTCTGAGTAGCCCTGGCTGTCCTAGAACTAGCTCCATAGACTAGGCTGACCTCGAATTTACAGAGATCCTCGTGCCTCTGCCTGCCGAGTGCAGGGATTAAAGGCGTGCACCACCACCACTCAGAAGCTCCACTGTTGTTTTTGTTTCACTTACGTACAGACCCACAATCCAGTAGCGTGCCATCCGAGATCTATCCCTAAGCTCCCCTAACCTTCACCGTGCCTCGTTAGCAGGCCCCTTAGGTAAACCTAGGTCGGCTCCAAAGCGCCACCACAACCCCGCCCCACACCCCACTAGCGGTCCCGCCCCAAGCTCCACCCCCCCAGGCCCGCTCGGGCTCAAAGGCCACCGGGCTCCCTGGCCCAGCCCCCAGCCCCGGGACACCACCTCGGCCTCACTGCGGCCCCGCAACTCCTTGGCCAGCTCCGCGACGTCTGGCTCCGGCTGGTCCCGCCGAGCCTGAAGAAGTCTCAGTAGATGTCGCATCTCGCGGGGGCTCCAAGCCGAGGGGCCGGCAGCCTCACTTAGGTAGCGGGCCGGGACCTTCCGCTGTCGCTGCGGTGGCTTCATGCCGGAACTCTAGAGCGCCCTTTCTTGGTGGGCGGGGCTACGGAGGCCGCGAAGGTCTGAAAAAGAGCTACCGGAAGACTTAGCGGATGGGGGCGTGGCTCGCGTTTGTCAGCAGAAGGACTGGCTCTGGAGGAGGATCCCCGGATATTTTTTTTTTTTTTTTTTTTTTTATTTTCGAGACAGGGTTTCTCCGTAGCTTTTGGTTCCTGTCCCGGAACTAGCTCTTGTAGTCCAGGCTGGCCTCGAACTCACAGAGATCCGCCTGCCTCTGCCTCCCGAGTGCTGGGATTAAAGGCGTGCGCCACCACCGCCCGGCAGGATCCCCGGATTTTATTTGCGTTTTATGTCACTCATGAGCTGGAATCAAAACTTTAGACTCTATATTCCTGAGCCAACCCATGAAATACGTACGGTGTGCTTTGCTTTTCATAGAGGAGTGGGCTGTTGCCCTAAAAAACCTGGGCTTTCCTTTGTGGGGCAGGGTAGCCCTGGTGGCCTGGATATCGATGTACAGACAGGCTGGCCTCAAACTCTTGGAGCTCTTCCCGAATGCTGGATTTAAAAGCATACACCTCTACACCTGGCTCACTTGCTGTTTGTTCTTGTAGATGACAAGAGTTTGATTGTCAAGAGTTTGATTCCTAACACCAACCAATTGTAATTTCAAGGCATTCGGCGCCCTCTTCTGACCTCCCCAAACACCAGGTACGCGGATGTTGCACATACATACGTGCAGACAAAACACTTGCACACAGAAATCTAAACCAACCACCCTGGCTTGCCAGGAGTGATGAGGAGTAATGAGTAATCCCAGCATTTGGGAGGCTGAGACGGGAAGACCGTTGAGTTTGAGGTTAGCCTGGGCTACCTAGTGAGAGTCTAGCTTGAAAGAAAAATAAGTCTGGGTTATGGGGGTAGACAGCCCTGGAGACTTTGGTGAAGACTGATTGGTATTGCTGAGCCTCCGTTTCCTCATTGGTAAACTAGATCTGGAAATTCCATTGTTGCTTAAGTTCAGAGGAGGGGGGAGTTTGAGCAGGGGGGAATTGAGGGGTACACAGAGACCTGATGAAGGTAGGGTCTGGGGATGGGAGTAAAGAGCAAAGGTCCGACCTGGGGAAGAGCGAAGGAGCAAGTGAGCTCTTGGAATGAAGGACAAAAACAGAGTTTAATTTAAACTCAAGCTGGCCAAGTTTGGGTGTTATTTTCTGTCCCAGGCAAATGGCCCCTGACTCCCTGGGTGTATGTGTTCATGGGGATTAGAGTCGCAACCCTTCAATCTAAGTCTTTCCCAGCCACAAATATCCCCAAGTTCTGGTCCCAAGGCACAGCCTGGAGCCTCCCTTTCCTGCCCTCCCTGCCCCCCATCCGTTGGAGCATATTGATTACACTGAACATTAGCAGGCAGGGCAGCAATTTATTTTGAACCAGGGGAGTAAAGACGAGAAGGGGGTGATGGAGGAGAGACGTGCAGAAGTCCTCCCAAAAGGTTCTGAATCCATGACTGGATGCATCGGAGGACTTCACCGGGTTGTGGCGTCTCTAGAGGAGGCAGAGGCTCAGCGTGGGAGATCACCTCTCGGGTCACAACATTTTCCCAGCAGACATTGGCTTCCTCCATCAGTCTATGCACCGGTGTGAGACTAGGAACTGTGTCTTATCCCTAACTCTTACCTAGTGCCTGTTCAAGTCTTAAAGACCCCCTTTCTTCACTGCTGGTAACCCCGTGCCCCACATTCAATCTCCAGCTCCACCTTGACAAGTTACTTAACCTCATAAAAAGTGCTGTGTTTTTTGTTTTGTTTAAAGAAAATCTCTGATGGGAACGGTAAAAGTAGCCGCCTGAAGGTTGTTCAAAAGACTAAATGAATATTCAAACTATTTGGAGCCCAGTGAGTAAGGCTGTGAAGGACCCTTACCATCACCTCTTCGCACTCTGTGCTTACCTGCCTACGAGGACCTCTGGAGCTGAGAGCCGCTGGGCGAAGCTCTAAGAGGCTGGCCGGGAGCTGGAGGTGCTGAAATAAGAAGCGGGCTAGAATAGGGGTTGCCTGTGCGCTGTGCCAGGGTGAGCGCGCCCCCTAGTGGGTGCTGCCGCAGGTGTACTAGCCCTGAGGGCCAGATCCGAAAGAGAAGTTCGGCGTTGTGGGGCGCGCAGGATGTATGTGGGGGGAGGGGTTGTATGGGGGAGTAGGCTGTCTGGAGGTGTGGAAATAGGTGTGGGGTTCTGGCGGGACAGAAGTCGGTACCTGAGTGCGCGCAGACGAGACCGAGCCCTGCAGCTAGCGCAGCACCCAGCACGAATGCCGCTAACACCAACGCCACCACTGGTGCCGGCTCCAAGGCTGCAGCGGCTGGAGCGGACGGCTCGGGGCGCACGGCCCTGCCTGGGATACTCTTGGACGGCCCTATGGGGATGTGCACAAAGCTGAGACCAGGCCCTGGACCTAGTTGTGTTTACCACCCGAGTTCCAGGGCCGCTTGCGAGCTTACTAGGGGGCGGACGAGGTACTGTGACCACGATGGGCTGCGTCAGAGTGTGCAGGAGCGGGCTGTCGGTACCAAGGCTCTCACCGCTGCCTGCGCATGCCTCATCCTGAGGCAGACACTGGGTTGGGAGGGAAGAAACCAGACGTCAGGGCCTTGGTGATTCTGGGTCTGGTCCTCCAGAGCTCCTAAGATGGACTTAAACTTCCAGCTTTCCACTAGAACTAGGAGGTCACCACAGGACTCCCGGACCCAAGCCCTAAACAGAGAAGTGGTTTCAGCCCTAGAACACCCCCTATGCCAGTCTCTAGGTCCCAAGTGAGGCACGCAAATCGGGGCTTTGGACGTGTCAGTTTTCTGCATCCAGTCTTCCAGTCCTAAAAGAACTCCAGATTCCCACCCAAGGATCCCAGAGCCTGAGGCTGTGTTATTTTCTGTCTCCTGGGGAGTCCCCATGCAGGTAGATCCATGAGGGGTAGCTCTGTACCCAGTACCCATCCTAAGAGGAACACAGACCATAAAGCACTCTGCCTCCCAGGTCCCTAAACCTGGTAGAGTTCTTCCCTCAGCTGCCAGAACCGCTTGTGACTAACTACAGAGTCTTCCTCCGGTGCTGAGATTACTGCCTCTGCAAGCGCACCTGCGGAGGCGCCGGCGGGGTCAGAGGCGTTGGTGTCTGGCGGACAGCCCGGTGGCGCTGGCTACGACGGCAACGGCTTATCTGGCAGTGCAAGAACTGCACTGAGGCGTTGAATACCGGGCGCAGGCGGAAGCTGAAGCGTGCGGGGCGAGCAGCATCCGGGTGTGGAGGTGGTGAGAAGCTGACAGAGGCGTCGGCGGGGCAGCCCCCACGTAGAAGCACCAGAGCAGGCCCCAGGGCCGGGCGTGAGGAAGGCGTTAGGGAGCAGCGGTGCAGGGCCAGGCCCCATCTCGGTGAAGGACGGGCCAGAGCCGCCTAAGGGACCAACGCGCCATCAAGGTTGACCGGTCCCCATTTATCCCCACCCACCCTCAGTGTTTCAGGCGCCCGCACCTGCACAAACACATGGCTGTCGGCTGGAACCTCCAGTGGTCCAGTGCGGCGGGGAAATGAATCCTCTGTGTCTGATAAATCCAGACTGAAAAGGGGTCTGCGCAGCCAGGGGCCAGGGGCCCCAGGGAACGGGAGTGCTGAAACGGAGCATAGAGCGAGGACGCATTCCTTCTAGGGTAGGGCTTCCACCTCCAGCCCTTGCTTCTCTTGGAATAGTAACGCATTACAGGTGGTCTTTTTATCCCTGCTCAGCTGTGTGCCAAATTCTCTCCAAGTTACTACCAAGTACTCCCTAGTGATATTACTGCCTAGGAGTCGAAACCCCACACAGAGCTGTGCTCCTTCCTTTTCTGACCTCTTTTGCCACATGCAGACTAGGGATGGGGATTTGGTGACCCATGGGGTTGACCAGCATTTGCACTGGATGGAGTTCAGATGGATAAGAGCAAGTCAGGGTTCTCTGCCCAGTTCAGGTTGCCCTAAGTCTTGGAGCAAGAGTCTTGTCTTTGTGTCTAAGAGATCCATTATGACCTACTGACCACTGAGGAGAGGTAGGTGCTGGCATCTGCTATGTGAGAGCACCCTCCCTAGAAGGCTGAGCCTCAGTCCAGACAGGCAACTGGAATGAGCATTTCTGCTCAGTAGAGAACCAAGACCCCAGACAAAGGGAGGACAGCACCAACAGGTGATGGTGGATGGTCTCTTGTGCTCACCCAGGCCTGCACTTACATGCACACTCTAACATGGTCTACACAGGCAAATGACTGCCGTCAAGTGGCCGTTAGCTGGGGGGTGTCTCAAGAATGATTTGCACACCTGGCCCCATTCCCACAGCCCTTGCCATCACTTGGTTGTTGAGAACTTTGAGGAAAGGGAATGACACCACCCCCAACACACCCAGATGCAAAACTAAGTTGAGAAGGAGCAATAGGGAAGTGGGACATGATGCCCCCGCCCCGTGCCAGCCTCTACATACCAAGTTGTTCATTGAGCACAGTGGCGGTCCCAGGGAGCAGGGCCAGGAGCAGGAGTGTGGTGCCCACCATGGTGGTCTATCCAGGCTGGAATGCTCCAGGCCAGCAGCAGGCACCTGGTTGGGCTGTACTGAGCCCTGTAGGTGTGGGTAGGCAGCCCTGGCCTTGGTGAGTCTGCCACCCTGGGAAGCAGGGAGCGGGGGCGGAGGATGCAGGGGCTGACATCCGAGCCCATGCTCAAGGCCTGCATGGATAAGGACTTCTTGGTGTGCTGAAGTTTCTAGGAAAAGGGGGCCCCTCACAAAGCAGCTTGATACCCCCAGTCACTCCAATCACCTCCCACCCAGCTCCAGCCCTGACTGTTTCTCACGAAACAGGCAGTGTTTAGCCACACATTAAAAGCCCAACTCCCAGCCCCTTCCCGCATCTCTATAAATTCTACCATTCTTAGGACACCACACTCAGAAGAAAAGGGAAGGGTTTTATTCTCAAGCGCTAAGGATTTACAAACAAGGGTATTTTGTTTTAAAAAGGGAGAGGGCAACACTGGTGGCCCGAGGAGGAGTCCATAGGCCAAAGGGAAGGACCAGGCCACTCCAGGTCCCTACCTGCCCGACACCCACTCTGCCTGGGCCAGAGGGATGGCTGGTGACAGAGGGGAGGATTTGGGAGAGGTGGGGAAGTGGGAGACTCCCCCAGGCTCCCACTTAACACTGGAGGGGGATGGACACAGACAGAGACACACACAGAAAATAAAGTTAAATAAAAATAAAACCATGCGGCCCAGTCTTGGGCCTGTGCTGGCCCAAGGACCAGCCAAGTGACCTAACTACCCATGAAGGCTGCCCATGCTGGTAGCTAGCCTCAAAATGGTAAGGGTAGGGGCCAGGCTTGTTACCCTACCCCTACTTCACTCCACCTCCCCACATAAGGGATAAGGAGAGAGGGTGCCCTGCCCAGGCAGAGCAGATGACTTCTATTGCAATTTAACCATGCGGCATTGTGTGAATAGGATGAAGATGAGTCAATAGGATAGTTAAGAGCCACAGTGTCACCTAAGCCTACAGTTGCATCATCAGCTACATCCAGCAAGGTTTCTCAGCTTTGGTGCTGGGTTTTGTTTGTGGTTTTAAAGTGTTTTTTGTTTTGTTCTGTTATATTGTTCTCTTGTCCACTTGATTTGCATGCATCACCAACAAAAAGGAAACATACCCCACCCTGTCCTGGCCATTGCAGAACCATGGGACAGACATCTGGCCCACTCCAGGCCACACGCTGGGTTGGAGCTGGTCAGCTCTAGGTGAGCTGAGGGAGGATGCTCAGGGCATAATGGGAGTAGGTCACTTCACATGCCAATACCCTGGCCTCACTTGTACTCAAGCCTGTCCATCTCGTCCCTGACACACATGCGCAGACCTCCACATCTACTTAACTCTCAATCCCTGACTTCTTTGGAACCCCTCCTTCTGCCCCTCGGCCTCACTCCTGTCACTGACTCCCTCCAGTTCACTCCCTGCTTCCTGCTGTTCTCCACTGCACTCCTCCAACACCTTTCCTGAAGGCCATCTGTGTGGCTGAGGCCCCGTGGTCTCCCTCTGTACCACCTGAGCTCTTCTACTCAACCCCAGGCTGTAACCAGTCCCCAGTCCCACGTGAGGGTCCCCCGATGTAGCCTGGTCTCTCTTACGCCAGAACTGACAAAGAGCAGCCAGCAGTCCAACCCCCCAATGCCTAAGGGCAATGGAGAGGAGGGGGCCCACCACAAGCAGCTAAACATTACTTTGGTAAAAGTTTCTGAAGGTACCGACACACCCCATGAGGACAAGCCCCCCCTCCCACACCCTACCAAGTACAATAAAATACAATAAACTCCAAAAAGGACCCCCTGAGATCAAAGAGAGAGAGACAGACAGACACAGAAACAGCAACCCATTTGGCTGCAGTCACAATGCCCACAAAGCTATCCTAGGGCAAGGACTTGAGGAGGCCTGGGTGCACCTGGGGCTTCCACTGAGGGGCAGGAGCGGCTGGGCCCAGGCTTAGGCTAGGAGAGAGGCCGAGGTTGGGAGGGAGAAGGAAACCAGAAAGGGACAGAGCTAGAGAGGAAGGGGAGAGAGGGGAAAATGGAGAGCAAGCATGTGGGAGAGAAGGTGGAGGGGACAGACACTGGGAGTGTGGGGGAAAGGAACAGGGGCTTTCTCTTTGCCCCAGGGGCCACCCCAGCCCATAGGTTATGATTGAATAAATACCGAGTCTGCTCATGGCCTGCTGTCTTCCGTTCACAGTGTCTGTCGGGGTGGGGTGGGGTTCGCATAGTTGGCTGACCCCAGAGTGGGAAGAATTAGGGACCAGCATGCCCGTCTGTCCACAGCTGGTGGGTAGGGAGTCAGTGGTGGATGGGTACCCCCTACTTTCTGTCCTCAGCCCTTGGCAGCCGTCCAGGTCCCAGGTCCCCTGATGGGCAGCTGGATTGGCCAGGTGGGAAGGGGGGCCTGTGGCCATGCCCCTGGGCCCCTATGGGGCTGGCCGCTGCCGTGAGGCTACCTGAAGAAGGGCAGGTGGTGTTGGCTCAGGACTCCACTAGTCCTTGGAGACTCGGTCTTTGCCATGATGTCCTTGAACCAGGATGCCACATCCACCTCGAGTGTCTCATAGTGCTTGATGAAGCTGTGTTCCTGTAGGCCCAGGAGTTAGCTTAGCATGAGGAGTCAGCCCTCCTGGTCCTGCAACTGAGGCCGGGAGGACTTCACGTGTGGCGGGAGTTAGGGGCTAGGTACTCACAAGTAGCTTATTATACTTTGGTCTCTTCCTGTGATCTTTAGTAAGGCTGGACGAAGAGCAGGGAGAGAAGAGAAAAGATAGTCAGGGAGGTGGAGCCTGGCTGTGCCTGGATGCGCACCTGTGCTCAGGCCCTCCCCAGTGAAAAAGGGGTCTTTCAGATCAGCCAGAAGCAGCTGCTCACAGCCAGGTTCCACCAGGCTGGGGATCCACAAAGTCTCCTGGCCCAGGGTAGCATGGTGAAGACCCAGCTGGGAAGTTGGAACCAGAATGTGAAGTTCACACAAGAGAAAGTTAAGACTCAAGTGTGGTCTTCCTGCATAACCTCCATAACAAAGCCCTAGGTAACCACACCAGACACCCATAGGACCAGCTGTCCCCTTAGGCCAGATCCAAAGCCAGAAAGTGATTCCAAAGGCTCCAGAATTAGTTGCTGTCTACAGCCTCTAGTCATGGACCTGCCTCTACCCATGCCCATCTCATCCCTTCCCCTTTCCCCAGCCCTCCCCAGCAGCACGAGGACATCAGACATTCCAGAACATCCCAAAGTAGAGAAGTAGGCAGAGTGGGCATGCTCACCAGTCTTTGACGAATGACTGGAAGTCCCCTGAGAAGCCCATGTGACCAGGCAGGAGCGGAGGCTCTTCCTGTAGGACTTTGGTAAGGACCTCAAAGTCTGTCTTGCAGTTCTTGTAAGGAAACTGTCCCGTTGCCAGCTCCACCTGGGAAGGTGACAGGCACTGCTGGAGCAGCAGGTAAGAGATCCCTGCCTTCCCACCAAGCCCCAGAACAGGAGCCCCAACACACCAATGATATGCCCAGGCTCCACACATCGGCTCGGATGTCATAGTCAGGCTTGGTGGGGTCTGGGGGGTCAATGCGCTCAGGCTGCAAGGAGGGGGAGAGAGGAGCTATAGGCTGAGGGCGGGGCCAGCCCACCCAGCCCTTGTCAGCCCAGCAGGGCCCCACTCACAGCCATGTACGCAGCACAGCCAGCACTCCGTGTTTTGGCCTTGGAGTCAACCAGGCGCCCGCTGATGCCAAAGTCACAGAGCTTGATCTGGCCCCGCTCGTCTAGCAGAATGTTGGAGGGTTTGACATCACGGTGGATGACACCATGCTTCTCCTTCAGATAGTACAGCGCCTTCACAATCTGCAGGACAGAGATTCAGAACCCTACCAAGGTGGGGGGGGGGGCACGGATGACAGAACACAGGGACAACCACCTAGCCACACAAGCCCAGACTTAGCCACTCACCGCCACAGTCATCTTGCCCAAGATTCGCTCCGGAATGGGGCCCTGCATTCGTTTCTTCAGCTTCTCTGCACACGTGCCCATGAGCTCCATGGCAATGAAGACGTCTGTCTGTAGAGGAAGGGTGGTACACAGGGTTTGGGGCAGCCATGCTTTCTTCCCCAACCTAACCACAATCTGGTACCTGGGGACATGTAGGACCTATGGGGCAGAAGGGTTGGCCCCTCAGGCAGGGTGCTCACGTTGGTGATGAAGGTGCCAAAGCACTGAACGATGTAGGGGCAGTCGTGGCTCTTGAGTACCACATCCAGGTCCATCAGGATACGCTTATTCTCTTCCTTGTTCCCCGAGCGCCGCATTTGCTGAAAGGAGGGACAGCCAGGAGGGGAGCTTCAAGTGCTGGGCAGGCTGCAAGGGTACAGGATACATCCTGGAACTGGGGTGTGGAAGGCTCACCTTGACAGCAATGATGTGGCCTGTCTTCCGGAAGCGCATCTTCCACACCTGACCACAGGTACCGCTGCCCATCTCGCCCAGGTTCTCCAAGTCATTGATTTCTGCCTGATAACGCTGGGTGAAGAGCAAGGCAGCTGGAGGGTCCCCAGAACCTCTGCTCCTGTCACCCACCACCTCTAGCCTGCCTGGGTCCTGTCACAGCCCCCAGGATGCCAATGGGGAGGTAGTACCTGGCCTCCGATGGTCAGGTACCCTGTCTGCTTCATGATCTCCTGCAGCTTCTGGTCAATCTCGATGCTGAAGAACAAAATAGGAGCTAGTCAGAAGGGTCCCACAGATGTCACCCACCTCCCATGGACCAGCACAAGGAGGGCCCTGTGCTGGCCCTGCTCCACCAGCTTACCTCTCCATACTGCGGGGTGTGAACAAGGTTGATGGGAGCCCCAGCATGTGGCGGGGCCGGGAGGGTGGTGTAGGGTGCTGTGGGGAGCTCTCTGAGGATGGTGAGCGACTGCCCCCATCATTGGCCAGTGGGAGCTGCAGGGCTGGCGGGTTAAAAACCAGGGGCATGAAAGGAGTTAGA